ATTATTTTACAAGAAGGAATGGGTTAAATTGTAGACTCTGCACTACTTTTATGTCTGGAATCAAGGATACTAGCCAACGTATCAGAGACTTCAGCTGCCCTGAACTCGCTCCGTCCCTGTCCCCCTGCCCCAACCTGTTGCTGTACATATGGGAGTACCTGGCCCCCTCAGCCTTGCTTCTTCAGTGGCCTTCTGAAAAATGCAACTTCCATTGGTTTGAGGCCCTTTTCTTGTTGGCGACTAGCACACAAGCAAGACTAACACACCACAGGCCATTAACACCCATGGAGAACAGAGCAGGAGGGGCCAGGTGGTTGGGTGGCCCTGAATATTCTGCAGAGGTGAGGCTCTGGGGACCTCTGCAGCCCAAATTTAAGCTTCTGAAAAAGTGTTGGGAGGAGTATGACGCGAGCTTCCTACTGTCTCCGGCAGATCACTTCAACTCTGTGGACCTCAGTCACTCACCAGGGAAATGATACATTAGGTCCCACCCGGTGGTCCCTGAGATCCCTTTTAGCTCTCACCCTCAATAACACCTCAGTGGGCTTCCTGTCAGTTTTCTGAAGGACCCCTCACTCAAGTCATATTGCTACCTCTTTCTGTAAAGAGAAATGAAGGACTTATTTAGTCTTATATGTATACAGCTTTTTTTCCGGGTTTCATTTCTAAATATTTTGTCCTCTTCTTGCTTTTCAGAGGAAAGTAGAGACCTGACCTTAGTGCAGGGGAGAAGGAGCCTTTTCAGATATCTTCCACTACTTTTCAAATACAGTCCTCCATCCTAGCCGGATTTCCAACTCCTTCGCTCGCTGCTCTTGCACAAACCTCCCCCGTGCAGCCTCCCCCTCTCTTCTCAGCCCCCTTGAATTTCCTGCCTCTGGGCTCTGCTCACAGAGATCTCCCTCCCTCCTGTCTCCTCTTCATCCGTCAAAACCCCACTGCCTCTTTGGAGCCTTCCTCACTTCCCATCCCTGCCCTGGACCGGCCACCTGGGTCCACCATACTCTCCTCTCCCCTGGGCCCTCGCAGCACCTACCGTCTTGGCTGTTTATTAGAAGATTGTCTTATCCTGCCTTGTTTGCTCTCTCATGGGAGAAAACATCATCTTAGAAATCCTTTAATCTCTTATAGCCCTTGCAGTATGTCTTGGACAGAGCGACTTCTCTGTAAATGTTTATTGATTGATTTCTATAGTAGATGCTCAATAAAATATGTACACCACCTGTGATATTGTGAAATATATATTCAGTCTTCATCCCCATTTCCTGACATACATTTCCTGAAGTCCTTGGAACCTCTGGAGTGATAAGAGTGTCTTTGATGATAATGAGATGACTGGTGGCTGGGGTCCCCTAGGTAGCTTCAGGATGGCGGCTGGTCACCGGAAAGACTGAGGCACAACTAGAGGGTTAGGACTTACAGCCCCACCCACAACCTTTGGGGAGGGGAGAAGGGCTGAAGGTTTCATTGACCACCAATGCCCAACTCAATCATGCTTACTGTGAAGGTTAATCCTAGGTGTTAACTTGATTGGATTAAGGAATGCCAAGAAACCTGGCATTAGATGTGCCCATGAGGTGCTTCCAGCAGAGGTTAGCATGAGAGTCTGAGAGGACTGGGAGGGAAAGACCTACCTTCAATGTGGGCAAGAACCACCCAATCCACTGGGGGCCTGGAGAGAATAAAAAACAGAGAAAAAAAGGTAAATCCCTCTCTCTATCTGCTGGAGCTGGGGTATACTCTTCTCTCCTGTCCATGGACATCGGAGCTCGAGACTCTTCAGCTTTTGGGCTCCAGGACTTACACCAAGGACACCACTGGCTTCCCTGGTTTTGAGGCCTCTGGACTTGGACTGAGCCACACTACCAGGATGCAGTTTGCAGATGACCTATCCTGGGACTTCTCTTCACAATTGCATGAGCTAATTCCCCTGATAAATCCCCTCTCATATATTTATAACATATTCCATTGACTCTGTCTCTCTGGAGAACCCCAACTAATACTCCTATGTAATGGAGCTTCCATAAAAAACCAAAAAGACAGGGTTTGGGAATCTTCTGGATAGCTGAACACATGCAGGTTCCTGGAGGGTGGTGTGCCCAGGGAAGGCATGGGACCTCTGT